AGCTGCGAAGGCCTGCGGTCGCCTAAAGGCATATCCTGTAGAACGCGTCGGATTCGCTCTCTGTTAGAGTTCCCCTTGCGTTGTAATATTGCGTCCCGTGGGGCTTCAAGCGGCCTTTCTTCGGGAGGTTCTAAAACTACATCTAAAACCTCGGCTACCAGGTGCTCGGGCAAAGAGGAAACCACGTGATGGAACTTAGTCTTTGAAGACTTAATATTCCTAGTGGCACACTGTGATTCCAGGACGGCGCCACGCCCTAGGGTTGGATACCCAAAAGGGAGGGGGTTGGAAGGTGGCGGCCACCACTGGAGCGGGTTCGTCGGATAAATCTTATAAATCCATGACGAAAATGATAACAATGAAAAACTGTATGTGATATGAAATTCCCTCGAACCAAAAAAAACAGCTCTAGCAAAATTGAAGAATTGAAACAGCGATAACGGTAAATAGAAAATACCATAAGGTAATCGCTAAAAATTTCTAAGTGAATATAAAATGGTTCAAAAATTCCCAAAATTCCAGCTGCGACGGACCCATTTTCAATACATCCGTTTTTTTCGTTCAAAAAACGGGGCAAGTAGCGAAACCTCGACAGACATCTATTTGATCCAATACCTGCGTATCAACCTGACTGCTAGATATTTGCTTCGCCTACTCGGTTTTCAAAAGACAATAAGACTGCACTCACACGCATATTTATCGAAGGCTCTTCTTAGCCTTCTAGGGAGGGAGCTCTGTAATGACAGTTTCAACCCTTTCCGCTTATGTACCTTTTCCATCTTCCGGACCTTGTTGTTTTACCGGACCAAGATTACCGCGTTGGTCACGGTACCCTGACTTTCACTTTCTGCACGCTTACTTACCTGTACGCTTCTCTCTCTACTCTCCAGCTCATAACAATACAACAGTCGTTGAGGTTTCGTGATATCAGTCGTTCTGCTTTGGTTTGTTACCTCGCCCGTTGTTAGACGTACGAATTCGCGGACATCATCAACCCCGAGACTAAAGGTTTGAAGCGAAGTCACTTTAGGCTGTAACTAAGGGCAACGTTTTTTACTAAGAGGGTAACTCCGTTGTGGAACCGATTGCCGCCGGCAGTTGCAAGCTGCAGTACTGTAGATGCGTTTAAAAGGCACTGGATGAGTGTTTGATAGCGATTTTTCCTGAGGTAAGCGTTTAGTACCACCTATAACCTGATCTCAAAGGATGTGATACTGCATCACACTATCACACTTTTCGAAGTGTTGGAAGCCAAGGAAACTGGCTGGAAACACACGAATCTGGACGCTCGATTGGCAAGAGTCACAAATTTCTTGAGCGAACTGAACGGAACTGAACTGAACTGGACTGGACTGAAATATAACTTTTCTTTAAGTGCACGTCAAGGTCAGCTTGCTGCAAAAGCGCGATACGGAGGACGTCGAATGTCATTGCAGAACCTACAAACCTTCGGTGGGTTGTAATTTTTATTGTCCGAATTGCTCGGTAAAGACCCATTCGCAGAGGAAAGCGAATTAGGAAGTGAAGGGAAGTTCGTCCATATTCGTATTCAACAGCGTAATGGACGAAAAACAATAACGACAGTTCAAGGACTTCCTGAGAAGTATGACAAGAAAAAAATCCTGAAGCAATGTAAACGGGAGTTCGCCTGCAATGGAACCGTTGTTCAACATGAACAGTATGGTGANNTATGGTGAAGTTATCCAGCTCCAAGGTGATCAGCGTGATCAGATGAAAAAGTTTTTGTGTGAATGGAAATTGGCCACCCCTGAGGGAGTGAAGCTACACGGATTCTAAAGTCGGAATCTTTCTGGAGTTTCAAATGTCATCTCTATACCTTCAAGACCTTGTAAATTTCCTTTACCCCATCAGATGGGCTGTCCGTCAAATATCAGTGCTAATTGCATAAAGTTTTTTTTTCAATAGATTTTGTGTAGTTCCGGAGGACCTAGCTTCCGGTGTCGCTTTTGTCTTTGAGAACTAAGTAAGTCGGATAGGTTCTCCTGGTGATACTTCTCCAGAAACTGTCACGTAAGTCGACACGCGTTTGCCGGTTCTAAGCTGGCATTGGTGCCTTCCCGTTCATGTTTCGAACTATAGTGTTCATTTAAATGCGATGGAAATGTTTATGATAACCGATAAAGAGCGCTGGACAGCTGTTTCGTCTTGTTCGAGACATGTCAGCAGTGCGCACTTTCCAACTAGTGGGGAATCTCCCTAGGAGTGAAACTCACATCCAAGATCAGTGCCTGGTGCCCGTGAAAAACCGTATGTGCTAATCCAAGCATTCACCGTATGAATGCTCATGGTTTATATATATATATATATATATATATATATATATATTCTCA